TATTCATGTGTCTTCTCGTGCGCAACCATTAAACAAATTGTTATTTTCAAGAGAATGACATGTAATATGTAATAGGAAAACATTGCCCATGACAAATATGGTCTACTCTGTGCTTTAAGGACTGATGTCACCTTGTTTGAATCGACAGAAAAAAAATTACAAAGACCAGTTAGAGAACATGCTAGTTCAACATGTCTTCCCAGAGTTCACAAGCCCGCATGGATTTATAAGAGCAAGGGTGAGTATTTATGGGATATCTATACTTCCACCATGGAGGGGATTGGAATTTCCAAGGGGTGGGGAGGGTCTTAGGAGGGTATATTGTGTTGTACCAGAAAAAATCTATACCTCCCCCATGGAGGGGGGATTGGAATTTCCAAGGGGTGGGGAGGGTCTGAGGAGGGTATATTGTGTAGTACCAGAAAATATTCATACCTCCACCATGGAGGGGATTGGGAATTCCAGGGGGGAAGGGTACGAGAAACCATCACTACATGTACATCCACCGTGGAGTGGGACTTCTAATCATACTTCTTCTTCTACCTTTTTCAGGCTTGCTGGATGCTTCATGTGTTTGGTGAGATTGACTTCAAGAATGACGCTAACTTGGCTAAAGCAGTAGAAGCAGCCAGGCTGTGCCTGACGGGTGACAAGGAAGCACCTGTCAAAGTAGAAGCTGCTATAGCTCTACAGTTTCTGATAACTGGACAAGAAAGAGGTAAATGCATTTTCCTAAAGGATAAAAATGATGGAAAATGTGCCTGGTAGGTTATTCTTAATCTATCTGGCAGCCAATTGTTTTTTATATAAGAACAATTCATTTTTCAGACTGAATGTGTTCTTATGTGTATGGCACTTTTTTGACCAACATTTTAGCCCGAGTGTTTTTAACCCACTTTTTCTTTTATGGGGTTTTACAATACATTCTCATACTCATTAATTATTCACAAGAAAACCAGCCAATCAATGGGCTATTTTTGGGTCACATGATGTTACTTGAGACCTGGTAAAGTCCTGTGAAAGGACTGAATTAATTTTGTTCAAGTCCTTGGACTGGATCAAAATTAATTCAGTTCAAGGACATATCTGTCCCTTAAGTCTTTCAATCCTAAACAAATAACCTCCCGAATTATTAATGACTATGAGAAGTCATTTCAAAGCATCCAAATCGGACTGGACAGGATTTTAAGTCCTTGAAATAAGTTCCAGTCCTTGGCAGCACCTCGGAGTGGAACTAAAGCGCGGACTTGAAATCCCGTCCAGTCCTCATTGTTGGCTTTGAAATATTATGTTACCGTACTAATATGTTAAATGCCTTCTTCTTTTTTCAGCAAAGACTCATATTGAACCACATGTCAGAGACGTTATTATTGGTAAGCTCTTTATTGCCATTTGGATACCAATTGAAGCATTCATTCCTTTTTTATTTCCTTCGAAATATCTGTCGCCAGTACCACTGTTGGCCTATTTTGAATTAACAGGTCAACAACAGTTTTCCGTGTTTGATACTCTGATCAAAACACGCGGGATGTTGAGAGAACACGAGAGGAGCGTAGGGAACCACGACACGTAGCGGAGTGGTTTCCAGCCTCTTGAGTGTTCTCACAACATCCCAAGCGTTTTGATCAGAGTATCAAACACAGAAAACTGTTTTTGATTTGTTTTATAAAATAACAAACGCGCGAAAAGATCGAAAAAAAGCAAAGTCTAAGTAAATTCTCCCTACGTGCCGTCTTATTCAAACTGACCAATGAGCGCGCGCGATAGATTAAAAATGACGGTAGCGTGTTTTGATACTCTCATCAAACATGGTTTTCGACCAGTCATAGCGCGCGTAGTATCCCAATTATTTTATAATAGAATATCAATGTTTTCCTTGATTACAGACTCATTTACTYGGGGTTAGCCTTGTATCAGTGTCTAAATATTCACAAATACAAACAGTAAAATAAAGAATAAACTGCTTCTATTTTTTTAGAATTGCTGAAGATTATTCGTGAAACTGAGAATGATGACCTGACCAGTGTCATGCAGAAACTGATCAGTACGTATGGTGACCAGGAACAGGTGGCTGGAATAGCTGTGGATATAGCTAAAGAACTGGTGAGTGGTGTGAAGACTAGCTAGTGATTGAAAGTAATCATCAACACTGTTATCACTGTCGTCATCATTACAATCATTATCACCAACACCATTACCACCATCATTATCATCATCATCAGCATTATTACCATCAGTATCATCTTCATCATCACCATCATCATCAACATCATCAACATCATCACCATCATCATCATCATCATCATCAACAACAACAATACAGTAAAAACCCACATAAAAGAACAAGTGGGCTAAGAACACAATCAGCCTAAAAAATGAAAAAGTGTTCTTCAAAAAAAATAAGATCGATATTTATGTGCTAGACCTGTTTTACAGTACAGTAATAGAGTTTAATTCAATTCAATTCAATTTATTTAAATTTATATAATTACAATAACACAATTAGAAATAACTTATCAGGGTAGGCCAATGAAATGAGAAGAATAACAAAAAGAGATAGTAGTACAGTAATACAGTACAGAAACTGTAGATACATTAATGTAGCTAGTGTGGGAATTGTCATGGTATACTGTACATTTTTGAACTTACACATTGATATCATCTACATGTATTGATAGTCTATATAGTAATACTGTTATATATTTTAGAAACATTTATTTTAAGAACGCCTTAAGAACACCTTCAGGCTGATTTTCAGTAAACACCCGTTAAATAAGAACAAAATCAGCCTCAACTTAAAAAATGGGTGTTCTTCTATGGGGTTTTTTACTGTAATCAACATCTTCAATCGCTATTAAAGACAAATTAACAAAGATAACATGGACTCTGACCAGACAGTCCACCAAGCAAGATTTTTTTATTCAAGTTACTTCACCATGACATTAATGTTGTTAACTACCTTGAAAACTGGGATTTGAAACCTCAAAACATTTCTTAAAATCCCTCAATAATATTTTATTTATTTTCATAATATTAAATATTAAGTAATATTTTCATAGCAAACATTGACAATCCCTAAATATCCACAATCAACAAATGTTTTCTCCCTCAATAGGCAAACACATTCCTTCAGCTGATAGAAGGTGAAGGAGATGATGAGAGAGCTGATGAGCGCTCAGTCACGGCTATGGGGATCCTAAACACTGTAGAGACAATGATGCATGTCCTTGAAGGCTCCAAGGAGGTGGGTTTTTGAACCTCTAATGTGACCGAGGCTACACTCGTTCGCTTTGATTAAACATTTAGAGGAAATTTTTTTCAATAACTAGCATTAATGGCAAGAAGGGCCAAAAACTAGACTTTTGTATGGGTTTTGATCCCTATTTTCATTTTGGTTTAACACTCAAAACCTTTTTTTAACAGTAAGAAACTGATGTACTATGATAAAATGCTTGTTTGAARCGGTATTTTCAATGGTACAAAGATGTTTCGTTACTTTGTCAGGCTTTTTTATAGAAAATATATGGGAAATAAGCAAATGAAGGCCTAAACCTCATTTTCAAATAAAATGTTTGCTTGCGTTAACACTGTGATTCCACTTTCATCAGTCATCTCCACTTCAAAACAAGTTAAACTTTCTGAATAACAAGATTTTAGCCTTATACAAYAGCCTTTCTTCAACCAATCAATCAAGCTTAGTAATTTAATACCGTTAGTCTACCCGTGTTTGAGCTTTGTGCTTGTTGAGCTCCGTTGCTTCTCTAAGCTAACTGGACAAGTTTTACGGATATTTTGTTAAGTTGGTTCCTGTAAAACCTCCAGAATCATGATTAAAAGAATGTTACCAGATTGCTTAGTCGAGCCACATCTATACTCTACAGAATGGGTTTTAATAACAAGGTCTCAATCAAATGAGGCAATAATGTACCATATTCATGCAAGTACCCACACAAACATACAAGTTTTATGTTTAGAATTTCCCTCCATAAACCAAGTAAAATATGACTTCTTGTTTTTCAGATTGTACATCAGCTCGAACAAGTGTGTGTCACTTTAATAGCAAGAGTTTTACAAACATCTGCAATAGGTAAGATATGCCTCAAAGCTAATTTCCAAATGACTGTTCTCTTTCTTTTATTCCTTTTATCCTTTCTATTATCTATTATAGATGCTGCTGAATATACTCTCCTTCTTTCCTTCCTTTCATCCATCCACTTTTCCTATCTTTCCCTATTTTCTATTGCTTCCTTCTTTCTTAATTCTCTCATCTCTTAGTATATTATGTACTGTTTAATAAACGAGCAGGAGTGTTTTATCGGGTATAAAACATGAGGCGTAGCCGAGTGGTTTTAGACCCGATAAAACACGATCTGCGAGTTTATTAAACGGCTTAAAAAAACTCCTGATGTATGTTCTCATACTGTACCGAATTCTTTACGAAATGAACCAAGTTTGATAGAGAAAATCCAAGTTAAAGTTTATGCAAATGAAGACGAATCTATATCAGATATAAAACCTCCTTCATGGTCATGATTTCTATTGTGTTTCCTTCATGAATTATTAATGAGTTTTTAAAGTAATCATATTATGTTTTCACTTTATAATTCTCTTTTAAATTTACTTGTGTTTTTCTTTTTTCCTCTTTCTTTTTCAGCTTTATTTCCCTTCTTATCTTATTCTCCTTCCCTTTTGTTCATTCTACCTATCTTTTTCTTTTTTTCTTTTTTCTTCATAATGACTTTGGAAGATTGTTATCGATGTTATGTTTCATTACTTAATTTCAGAATTTTATGAGGACGTCTTCTCCATCATCAATACTTGCACGTGCTTTGAAATCTCACAACAAATGTGGACTCTCTATTTCATGATGTACGATGCTTTTGAAAAAGATGCCTTTGATTTCTTTGCTGGTAAGAACTGCCCTTTTAGATAGAATGAGTGAATGCATAAATTGATGAATGAAAAAGACAATGAAAAAGACAATGAATAAGAGAAGGAATAAGAGAATGGATGGGTGGGTGGGTGGATGGGTGGATGGAAACAAACAAAATTAGGATATAAATGGATAAAACCGCCACCCGGCTAGCTCAGTTGGTAAGAGCATCAGTCTGTTGTGCGGGAGGTCGTGGTTCAAGCCTCGGCTGGACCAACACTCAGGGTCTTAAAATAACTGAGGAGAAGGTGCTGCCTTTGTAATTACATCTGCAAATGGTTAGACCTTCAAGTCTTCTTGGACAAGGACTTAAATCTGCAGGCACTGTCTCCCAAGCCTTCCTAACCTACAGTAAATGGGGGACATTAAAGAACCTGTTGAATTATTCGTATAAGAGTAGGGGATTGTCTCCCGGTTCAACAGCCTATCCCAATCTGGAGGCATTAATACTAACTTACTAACAAATCCCTCATGATTGTAAGCTGCACGGCTGCTACTAGCGCCTAAATACGCAGCTTGTAAAGTTCTCCACTGGTTATGATTGTGAAGCACATTGAGACCATGTAAAATGCGCTATATAAGAACCCCGTTATTTTTATTTATTAATTATATAATTTACATAATTAAATTTTGTTGATGGTCTTATTTTTCAATTCCAGAAATGATGCCGTCGCTGCATAACTTCATAACAGTGGATACCCCGGCATTCCTTGCAAACCCAAAACATGTGGAAATTATTTACAAAATAGCAAAAAAGGTTTGATGAAGATCTTGATTATCAACTCTATCATGTGAATGGATTTGTGGTTGATAAACTTGAATGGCTGTTGTCACGTTTGTTATTGCTGTTGTCATCTGAGTGGCCTGAAGACTTGTGATTTAAAGTATGGTGTCATCTTCACTCACTCTTCACTCACTCCATTATCATTATCACCATCATCATGATCATCCCCATCATCATCATCATCCCCATCATCATCCCAATTATCATGATTGCCATCATCATCATCATCATCATCATCATTGCCATCATCATCATCATTGCCATCACCATCATCATCATTGCCATCATCACCATCATCATCATTACCACCATCATCCCCATCATCATCCCCATCATCATCATCATCACCTTCATCATCACCTTCATCATCCCCATCATCATCATTGCCGTCATTATCACCAGCTTTTCATCTCGGTCAGTATTCAGTACAAATGTAGTATTTATTTTTTTCATATTTATTCATTTATTCCTTCATTTACTGTAGATGTTAACAGAGGATCCCGGTGAAGATGACCAGGTTAATGCCGCTAAGCTAATGGAGATAACAATCCTGCAGTGTCGAGGAGAAATTGATCAGGTGGGTGATGTTGATGTGGAAATCAGAAACAACCTCTGGGCTGATCTAAGTCAGGGCACGACTAACTAATATTAAATTGGGGTTTAGCGTGCTTATAGAGAGGAAAACCCTTGAATCAAAGAGATAATGTTAATATTGAGTGTTGATTAAATGTTAGTATTGAGTAAACATATTTTCCATAATTTGTGGAATATCAATATTGTATACACGAAGTTGAAATGATGTGATTTTACGCTCTTTTCTTCTCACTAGTGGGTTCCATTCTTTGTTGAGGCAGCGCTTGAGAGACTAACACGCGAAGTGAAAGGCAGTGAACTACGAACCATGTGCTTACAAGTGGTAAGTTTGTTTGATGTGGCCATCATCTCTCTACTAACAAGGATTTTTTTATGGAAGCAAGTTAAAGTTCGTAAATGTGCTGCCTGCTAAGCAAGAGGTCCATACTTTGACCCCCAGTGACCTCACACACTTGTTTGAAGGAACAAATGTGGCTTGGTTGGTTAGTGTGCTATCTGCTAAGTAACAGGTCCATTGTTTGACCCTCAGAGACATCACACACTTGTTTTAAAGAGCAAATGTGGCTTGGTTGGTTAGTGTGCTGCCTGCTAAGCAATAGGTCCATAGTTTGATCCTCAGTAACCTCACACACTTGTTTTAAGGACCAAGTGTGGCTTGGATGGGTAGTGTGCTGCCTGCTAAGAAAGGGGTCCATAGTTTGATTCCTAATAATATGTTTTGACTTCTCTAATCCCTATGGCTTCGGCTTTGAACACTTTTGAAATAAAGCGCTGAGGAGGAGAGTAAAGTGTGCTTCTTCAGTTTCCTGGAAGACTTGCTACTAACTTGAGCAAATATCATTGTTAAATATGAACTTTACCTTAACATTTGTAGAAAAACATTTACGAGTTTAGTCTTGTGTGTATTTAATATTTAACAACGTGGAAGAGTGTTTGAAGGCAACCTTATTAAAGAGCCCCTTGGCAGGAGTGATGGAAATACTTTACCTTAACATTTGTAGAAAAACATTTAC